AGTGTGCGCGATGTAAGAATTATAATACCAGGTACAATCATAGCAACAGATACTACTAAAATAGTAGCGTTAAAAGATTGTAGCGAACTGAGAAGGATAACTGCATTTGGCTTTCTACTTAGGACTATTTCAATTTTTTTTTTTTTTTTTTTTTTTTTTTTTTTTTTTTTTTTTCTTATTTACTTGCAACTATAAATATCACTTTTATCTCAACAAAAGAGAAATATATTAATACATCTAGCCGAAGGTATAGCTTAAAAGGTTTGGGTGGCATACCTACTTTACTTTGTAGAAGGGCTTGCCGGTAAGCGAAAACGACTTAGCGGACGAAGTAAGTAGTCTTTTAATAAGTAAAAAGTTGACAAGTTTATGGTGGTACCTAGTTGGCCTAAAAAAGAATAGCTATAAGGATTGTCAGTTTTTGCTTTTTATTTTATTGCAGTTACAAATATATTTTAATCACTGAAATCCTTGCCATGTATATAAAAGAAATAAGTGACTTGATGTACTAAAATATGGAATAACATATATATGTAAATTATTCATGAAACTGTATAATAAAATTTAGACTGAATAAACTAAAGTTATTACCAGACTAGTGAATGATTTTTGCTCTAAGTATCAGTAAAAAGAAATAAAAAAATGAAAGGAGCAGTCGTGTTGATTAGTTAGACTTATTAGTTAGCCAGGTCAAAACAAAAGCCATGACTGTACAAGTAGAAAGTGAACTGTAGTGCGTTTTTCATAGGTTTGTTTTGATGTCGGTTTGTTTTACTGAACTTCCGAGAAAAGAAAGAAACCTGTTTAACGAGTTTGGCTCAGTCGTGGGTTGTCAATCAAAATATTCAGTTTTGGGAATTTCCCAGAAACAATCAACCAATGTTTCCTTTTACCTTTAAAAGCACAACAGTTCGTGCCGATGGATTTACTGAAATTTGAATTCACCTTTACTATTGTAATACGCTGCTTACATATTTTAAGAGTATAACTCACATTTTAATCAATTCTAGGAAAGAAAAGTTGACAGCTAGACTTTGATCGACAGCAAGCCTCGGTGAAAAATGGTGACCATCACAATTCATCGCGGAGAGCTACTACAGATCAAGAGAATAATAACAAAATACAAGAAAACGAAGTATCTCAAGGGCAGTTTATATGGACTCTATACCGAATCATACCAACCAGTTGTACTAATAGCATGTGGAGGAGATAACAAGAAGAAAATAGACGAATATCTATGGGAAAACCATAAACTATTGCCACTCGGAGAATGGATCGTATCAAATTCCAAGAAAGGTAATCTTATTCTTTTTCACAAAATATTTCCAGAATAACTTGGGAATAAGGATGATAATTAAGAATAATGACTGCATGTATTGAATGGTAAGCGCTATGTGAGTTTTTGAAGGGGTATTATCTGTATATTTTCGGTGGTGTGCAATCGAAGATTCTGGCTTTCTCTTTCGGCTCCTTTTCCGTAGTCAAACATAATATATTTGTATTTGTGCTTTTAGCTCCAGAAGGTTCAAAGGAAACGGTGATTGTGGAATTTGACAACCAGGGGGAATTTGTCAGTGCACAGTTCAAAGGCAAAGTAGCCACTTTGGGTGAGTAATTACTGATTTTTGGTACAGCTTATTAGTTTTATTATTACACAAACAGTGAATATGCATTCATGTCACGCCTTTTCATGTATGTCACGCCTGAAGGCTGAATTGGAACAAGGTATCTCGACAGTGAACCTACATTTTAAACAACTTTTTAGGACCTCCAGACAATAGTGCCCAAATTTTGCAGCAATGAAAAGGGGATACATATTGATAGTCTCGTTTATATTCTTGCTTCGTAGTTTTGCATCAAAAATGATAGATAAACCGTATCATACATCATGTTTTCGAAGTTGTCTTACTATTACCTTTTCTACTCTTAGATATTCTTGAAGGTCAAAGTGCTTTCCGGGACTACAATGGCCTCGCAAAGTTCTTTCAAGATAAAACAGGAGTAGAAAGTTCGCCAATAAAAGTAGAAGAAAAACGAGAAGAAATCAGTCCATCTAAAAATCAACTACCTGCTTCACAGTCAAGATCTAATAAGGATCATATTATCAACGTAGAGAGCCACAGTAATGATGTATCGTGCTATACCCGCACATCTCAGTGGTACAACACTGATCGAGATAACTTCCAGAATATCTTTGAGTTTGTGCGTCGTCGTTTTGCAGATGGAGGAACGGTCGAGATGTGTAGAAACACTTCAACAGAAGACATGACATTCAAGTTCAACCATTGCCAGCACCTTTGGGCTATTGAATTCCCAGCAGAATTTCCTCGTGGCGTCGTAACACTGAAAAAGTTAAGCGATAGCGCAAATTCGAAAAGGGCCGTATCATCGCAGCAAACCAGAGCAGAATTATCAAACATGAAGAATAGATTAAGAGAGGAATTTATTAACATGTGTAAGTGTCCTGAGTGTTCAAATTCAAATCAAGAAAGTTGGGTGTAATAAAAAAAAGAGAAAAGACTTTAGCTAGCCTGAATTAAAGAACCAGTGAAATAAATATCAATTCCCTCAGATATTGCGTTACAATAAACCTAAGCAAGGCAGAGCTCTACAATAAGGTATTTCATTCAAAACTACATAATTAAATACGAGAAAGTGGAATCTCAATTAAGTAAAACTCTTAATTGGTTACGTTGCATAAATAAAAATATTACTGAAAAAGGGTGTCTTGCAATTCATTTTTGTTGTGTTTTTCTTTAAACATGCTAACGTAGTACTTTCACTTTCGTTGGCGCATGACCTTATCAAGCACAGATTCCTGGAAGAAGGAAGGAATGACGGAAGAAAGACCGGTTTGTCTAGTTTGTCTGTCAATCAAAATCGAACTCATTTCCAAGAATTCTGCAAACTCTTCAGTCAAATCTAAGCATACGAGACGATTTCATAACAACGAGAAGGACTGAAGAGAAACGATTTACCATTAATTCGGGGCGTAGCCGTGGTTTATCGTATCCATTTTAAAGGTTTTAGTTAATTTAACGACGTTAATGAAGTTTAAAAACAAGAATGAAACCCATCATCACAGTACACCGAGGTGAGCTTCTCCAGATCAAGAGGATGATCGAGAATGGGGATCTAAGAGGAGATATGTATGGTCTACGAACCGAATCTCGACAACCAGTCATACAGTTTGTGTGTGGCGAAAATAATAAAAGCAACAATACAACAGAAAGAGAGTCAACGTGCCAGGATATGCTAAAGAATAGACATGGACTGCTGAAACTTGGAGAGTGGGTTGTTTCCAAGAGAAGTAAGTTTCGTATCAATGCGCGCTGAGCTACAAAAAGTGATAATTATAAAAATGATATCAAAATATATTTTTACCTTTGTCAATAATCAGCTTGTCATGAACCTACATCTCGCCTTATTATAGTTTTCTATTGTTGTGGTCGTAGTCGTGAAAGCTATGTTGCTGTTGTTGTTATTGATGTTTTTGTTGTTGTAAATAGATTGTGATCAGACGCTATTTAATTTATTTTGGTTCTGTTTATATTCGGTTCATGATTATTTCTTTTTGTGGAGGTTTGATAATAGTACAAATAAAAATAAATTAAATTATCTATGTGAGTATAATGTGCGCAGCGTAAATATATTGTGTGTTAATTGCCCTATTTCACTATGACGTCACATCAAAACAATCTATTGTTTAAACGCAAAGGATCATGGTCGTCTGAGGGGGTTAAATCAACGCAAATTCACCGAAAATCGTTCTAAAACCCGTATCACTCCACGAAGAGAAGTACAATAGCCAGCAACCTCTCAGAATATTTTTTACTACATATTAACACATATTATATCTGAAAACCAGGCCATTTTAGATTAAACTGTTTCGCTAGGAGCAAATTTTGTTGAATTTTCTATTGGATTTGGCGATTCTATCCCCCACATGAACAAGCAGTGACGTCATAGTGAAATAGGGCAATTGTCTTCTTTGTCTTGCACGTTGGTACTAAATTTATAAAAATCAACATTTAATAAACTGATTTTTTTTATCCCTCATGATGATTTTGAAGTTGCCACTAACTTTTTAATTTTTTTGTTTTATACTTATAAATTATCAAATTATCATAATTTGGGTGTAAAAGCACTTATTGCTGTCGTTGTGACAATAGTTAAAAGCTCATCATGACAAAAGAAGACCATCGTGTGTTAAGACAATCGGTTCCAAACTCTGACAGAAAGGAATTGTATCACAAAACGTTTTCAATCTGTGTAATATTATAAAAGGTATGTGTTGTTTTAGTTAGGTAACATTAGTAGTAACTCAGTCATATTTCATTTATTGATCACAGATGTCTCTCGTAAGGATGTTGTTTTGTTCTTTAATAAAGAAGGGGAGCTAATCTTTGCAGAAGACCGTGGACAAGAGTGCACCATTGGTAAATATCATAATGCACTTCATGCGAGCATTAAAAATTTTAAAAGGTCGCGCTTTCTCAAAAGTACTCGGCCTATTTTTTCAACTGAAGAAATGACGGACATTGATCAAATCCTATAAGTATTGAGTTGGCCGTAGAGCATGCCGGGATCAAGTCATGTTTCATGATAACCGTTTGCAGTAATGCATGAGTTAACATGTATTGCTGGTTTGCAATCATTCCCAAGAGAATAAGATAACAAAAGACAGGTCAGCTATGTTGGATGATATATCATATACACCTAATTGAAAAAACGTTGTCGGGTTCAAAAAAAGGTTATATCATCAAAGCTAAGACAGAAGGTGAGCATGGGAAGACAAACAATTATGCTAATTTCATGCGTATTGCAGTTTTCCCTTCCTGTGCACATTTTATGCATCATGGCTTTGGCATGTTGTTAATCTAGGTCGACCGACTTTGCTCTACTGTGCATTTTTACATGTCTATATGCAAATATAATACATATTTCAGAGTACTCAAAATCCTTTTCGGTCTTAGCTTCGATGATATAACCTTCTCGAACCCGACTACGTTTTTTCAATTAGGTGTATACCATATAATGATATATGATATGTGATTATACGACACACTCAATTTCCCGTTTATTACGACCATTTTTCGAATGCAATTACAGAGCGATAATACACGGTCTGTGAGCCGGTTTTGAAAAATTCTTTTTTGCTGAACAGCTAGAAGTAAAAGTTTTCTCCAATTTCTTTGTGCGGCTAACGTCAGTGGTTTGAGCTCGTGACTTTCAAGTTTACCTGTTTATAATAACAATGGTTGTTTTTCATACTTTCTTAGTTTTTTCGTGTCGCACAATAAACAATTCATTACACTGCTATAGTTACTCGTGAAACTATATTTTTTCTCGCCCTTGCGGGGCTCGAAAAAATACGGTCGCTCTCACTCGTAAAATTATCCGGCTGTAATACACAACTAGCATTGTAATAACCTCTATATGTAGCATATATTATATATACCATAACCACATAACAAAAGAGACTAATGACAAATCTTTTGTTGAACCCATCCAACATTGCGGCTGTGAAAACCACCAATAAGTAAATTTACTAACAAAAGCTAGTTTGAGATTTTTAAACTCCTTTCAAACAACAACGCATTTGGTTATGTGAAGGTAGAGAAAAACTCGAATAAAGGGAGACTTAACTCTACTCATTTACAGAGCTACGCGCACACTGTATTACCTCATATTCGCATACTTCTATGCACGCAGGCTTTTGTACGTTAAATTGACAAATGCTAATGCAAAGCTGGCTCGTTTCACCAAATAAAGCGTGTAAAAGCTTGTTTGGCAGCACAAAACTCGTGCATAGAAGTATGTGAATACATTAATTGAGGTCATAATTTTGAGCGTTGCACTTTAATGGAACCCGAGGCGATAAAGAAGATATGCAAGTGCATTATCACTGATACCGCACCTCATTGATTCCTGAATTTCTACTTTCTTTGCTATAAGAAATTTTAGATTAATTCACTTTTATTTGTGATCTTGGCAGATATTCTGAAAGGGCAGAGTGCATTTCGATTATATGAACCATTGACGAAGGTTCTACCTGATCTGTCAGTTCCGATACCTACAGAGGAATATGACAAAGAAAACGAGAACAAAGAAGCTGAAGTGACAAAGGAGCAATGGTACTCTGAACCTGATGGAGTCAAGCTGTTGCAGGGAATTTACGCAACCTTTCCACAAAAAGGCCTCACGATCCTAAACATGAGTCGAGACAAAGCCACGGAGGATATAAGTCTTTCTCTTACAGTAGATAGCATGCCTATCGCAGTGTATTTTCCAGCCTCCTTTCCTTATGAAAATCCAAAAGCGCGCGTTGATGATGAGAACGACTGGTCAGAGGTGGATCTTCAATATGAGGAAGGGATGCCGCCTGAGGAAGCTGTGCCTCTGTTATGTGCTCTTTTGCTTAACTTGGTCAGCGATGAAGAAAATAAAAGGCAACTGCGAAAACAGGAGAGAAAAAATAACAAACAAAACCAAAAGTTAAAAGCAGAAAAGATTCCAAAACGGGGTGGTCTACACTCAGAACAAAACCAAACCCCATCAATGAGTGATGCCCAACGTAACCAAGATGAGCCATCCACAGGACAAAAACAACCCCAATTAAAAGGTGATCATGAGCAACGTAACGAAGATGAGCCATCCACAGGACAAAAACAACCC